CAGCTGGCGTTAGATCGCAAGTCCTGGGGGCTGCGGTGCAGCATCCCCAGATTACGTCGCCTCGTTTTGCTGTTAGGACGCGAGTCCTGGATGCTGCCGTGCAGCAGCGTCCAGGCACCGTCGCCACTGTTGGACGAAGGATATCCACCAAGAGCACGGCAGGCGCGGACGTACCGACGGACATGGGGATGCCTCCGCCTGTGCTGCCTGAGGACCGAGCCGCAGGGGACTGCGCGGACATGCGAGCGGATCTCAGACATTGGGCAGCGTTATGGTTCGAGGATTACACGTGTCCAGCGACCAACAGTGGTCCGTGGCTGGAATGGTGTGCTGCTTTTGTTATAGCGATGTTCGATCAAGGCGGCAACAAACCCCTTCGGCAACTGCTATTCAGAGTGTTCCCTGGCAGGACGCTGCAGCAGATCGTCGACGATATCTGTGCGAGTGCATGGCGGCGCGCCGCCGCAAGGCGTCGCGCTTTCATTCAGCGTCTGCGGCAAGCACCGCGCGAAGAGCGAGTACGCCTGGAATTTCAACATATGCAGGCACTCGCGCAGGTGCGGAACATGTTCAGGAGGCTGCTGGGAGAACGTGCCCCAGACCGACCTCGACTTTCACCTCCGCGCAGACCTGCGCCTGAGGGTGAGGATGACGAGGAAGATCATGATGTGGACCGAGCTGTCTTCCTCCAGCAGCGTATCGGATGGCTTGCAGCAGATGGGCAGAATAAGGCTGGACCCAGGACCAGCGCCCCATCGTGCCCGCCGTCGGAGGCCGAGGAAGCAGCTCTTGAGGACACGCAGGCGCTTGGGGAGACGCCCTCCGCAACTCCTGTGCGCCTGCGCAAGCCATGGATGGGCGCGGCGGCGAGCAGTTCGGCGACCGTGGCCACAGCGACCTCGGCAGTCGCTGGCAATATGAAGGTACGCATGTCCCCTGCCAGGCGAGGGGGCCGGCCTGGGGAGGTAACGGCCAACGAGGGGGGCAGCTCCCCTGACAGGCGATGGGGTTAGGCCTGGGTACGACGTGAAGGTGAACACGGAGGACCCCCTGCGAGGCGAGGGTTAGGCCTCGCAAAATGGCGCTGGGCGGCGAGGTCACAACCCCTGCCAGGCGAGGGGGTGGGCCTGGGGAGGCGTCGGCCAACGGCGCATCTCAATCCCCTGCCAGGCGAGGGGGTCGGCCCGAGGAAGAGGTGGGAGCCCACGCGGCGGAGTCCCCTGCGAGGCGAGGGGTTAGGCCTCACAACAAAGAGGTGGACGGCATGGTCGGAGCCCCTGCCGGGCGGGGGGGTAGGTCTGAGGAGGCGATGGCCAACGTAGAGGAGCTGCCCCCTGCCAGGCGAGGGGTTCGGCCTGTGGGTGCGGTGGGGGCCCGCACGGCGGAGTCCCCTGCGAGGCGAGGGGTTAGGCCTCATGACAGTGCGACGGCGGGTAGGCCTGAGGAGACGATGGCCAACTCGTCTGATCTCTCCCCTGCCAGGCGAGGGGTTAGGCCTGAGGAGGTGGTGGAGAACCACATGACGGACTCCCCTGCAGGGCGAGGGGTTAGGCCCATGGCGACCAGCCTCGACGACGCCGTAGAGGACCCTTTCCTCAACATCGGCGACGGCGAGGGGCTGGTCTGATGATTTCAGAGGGTGCAGCTGAGTTCGAGAACTCTATGGGGCTGCTGCACGACGGCGCGATCGCGGACCTGCTGGCGCTGGTCAACGCGGTCGCCTCCGAGCTGACGGGCATCGTCGGCGACAACGTCTCCCTCCTCCTCTGAGAGGGAGCGCCGCTGCCTTCGCTGGCGGCGGCGTCGGAGCGCGGCCGCGGAGCCACCGCGGCGGCGTTCGGCTCCTGGAGCAGACCCGCGCCTCCGCGGCCTCTCATCATCAGCATCAGCAGCATCATCATCATCATCGTCATCGTCATCATCATCATCATCATCATCATCATCGTCATCATCATCATCATCATCATAATCATCATCATCATCATCATCATCTCTCTTCCGTTTCGTTTATCCCGCTTCCTGGGGCTTCAGAGACACTATATTTACGAGCGGCCCCTGATCGTCGTCGTCGCCGTCGTCGTTGTCGTCGTCACCTTTCGCCGCCGTCGTCGTCGAAATTCTATGTATTGGATGTCCATGCTATTTTCGTCAAGGGGGGGAGAGCCACCCCGACCCCGCACAACCGGCGCTCACCAAGCAGTCCTGGGTGCATATTGAGCATTCCTATGCTGCTTTCGGGTCGGCCGGAAGGGGACAGGGTAGGGGGGGGGACGACATCTACTGCATGCAGCTGGTTTCTGCTCCGACGCTGGGCGCCCTCCTCGGTACAGTGTCGCCTCCGGCGCTTGGAAACGCCGGGGACGGAAGCTACCTGAGCTGATTCGTCCGCCCCGATGTTCGGTTCCTTCCTTAGGCGCGTTAAACTAAAGGGCTTCGATTGGCGGGGTGCTTGCTTATTATCAGGGTGTTTTTTCTGCCCTCTACTTTGGGCCTCCAGTGGCCCCTGGGGGCCCCCAGAGGCCTCCGTCGACCTGCGGAGGCAAATGCGACGACGGCGATGTCGTCGACGTCGGCTCGGGTATTGCCTTACGGTTCTGGAGGGTATCGTCGCCACGGTCGTCGTCGTCGTCGTCGGCGGCGGTGGCGGCGTCGGCGTCGGCGTCGGCGTCGGCGTCGGCGTCGGCGTCGGCATCGGAATCGGCGTCGTCGTCGGCGTCGTCGTCGGCGTCGCCGCAAAGATTAGAAGGTCTTCTCGTTTCCGGGGGTTGTCGTCGACACGACCGGGCGCGGCTCGGAGGGCCGGCCAGCTTGGACCCCGGGAGGGCTCCAGAAGTCGGCACGGAGCGGATTGTGGCCGGGGTCGGGGCGGGCGGCAGCCCTCTCGGAATGGATCCGCCGTCGTCGAGGATGGAGGATCCATGGCAGCAGGTTCGAGACGCGATGATGTCAGCATGGGCCCAAAGATTTGGGCCGGGGGCAGAAAGGCGAAGGAGGGGAGCCTTGTGATTCGGAAGCCAGGGGCCTCTCTGAAGCCGTGCCGCCTCCTGAGAGCCCCCTACGCTTCTGGGAGCAAGGAGGCCCCCCTGCCTCCTCCTGAGGTCTCTCTTTCCCCCCCATGCCACTCGCTGATGCTACGCTCGCGGCCCCCTCCCGGGAAATCTTCCGGGACGCTTGTCTTGGCACCGCTCGGACGTGTGCAAGGACCATCGAGGAACATCCTGCATCACCTGGCAAAAGAAAAACGCACAAAACCGACACATGTACGGAAAGTTGACGTCCGAGCGATGGCAAGCTGTAGGAGCCCCAAACTTGCAAATCCTTCTCTTCCCGCGTAGATCCCCAGAGGTCCCCGAAGATCCCCCAGAGGTTCCCTGGAACGAAAGCTTGCCCTCGATCCTCGAGCTTCGATGTGCTGCCCTCGATCTATCTTCGGTGCTCCCTCTTCGGTCCTCCAGCCCCGATCCTTCGTCCTAGGCCCTGGATCCTCCATCCTCAGATCAGGGATCGACCATCGTGCCTCGAGCCTCCATCCGGCCGGCCCGTCCCGCCGACCCTGGCCTTCCGCCTGCACGCTCGTCGTCGCGTGCGTGCACCTCATCTCTTCCTTCCCCCTCCGTCGCCGAGCCGCGGGCGCCGCCCAGAGCCGCTGGCAGTGGGCCGGCAGGCGCCCTCCGATCCGAGGCCGTCGGAACCTCCGTCGTCCTCTGTCCTCGGCCCTCGATCTGCGGTCCTGGATCCGCTCGGCCTCGCTCGGCACGCACGCAGCCGAGGGAGCGGGCGCCCGAGCGGTGGGGAATGCACGGGGAGTGGACGCCCGAGCGATGGGGAGTCAGGGGCGGCGGCGAGCGAGGGGGGGAAGGCGAGAGGGAGAAGGCGCAAGTCGGGCATGTCCCTCTACAGGAGAAGTATTCAAAAATACTGAAACAATACTCTTGGGACGATTGTTCTATGCTTCTTTCTTTCTGTTGGGGTACTTATTCTTTGAGTATTCCTAACTTTTCGTCCAGAATCAGCCTGTAGGGGGACATGCCCGACCAAAGAGAAGGCCGTCTCAGAATGCTCGGAAGTCCCCCGGTCTTCTGACCAGTTATCTGAGCCTTTCCCGAAGACCGAAGCACCTCTCAGAAGGCGCGAGGGCTTCTGAGAAGTCCCGCCGCCTTCTGGGAGGGCCTTCTCCTTCTCATTTCCCCTCCTCGCTCGCCGCCGAGAAGGGACGCCCGAGCGATGGGGAGCCAGGGGCAGCATCCAGGGGACACTGGCCCCGGGGGGGGGCTGGACCCCCTACCGCGCACGCGTCGCCATACTCGGGGCCCAGGGCCCCCCGCCCCCGCCCCACCCAGGGAGGGTGCGGGGATTTGCTGTCGGGGGTCTATCGCCAATTCGTCGGCGAGGTAACTAATGGTTGCAGATTCCAGCTAAATTCTTCCCCCCCCCTCACTCATTCCCCCTCCTCGTTCCCCTCAACTCGAGCCGACTCGAATCCTCGATGCTTCCAGGTAGATGCTTCCCCCCCGAGCCGAACCCGCCTCCCCGTTCCCCCTCACTCGATCCTCGAACCTCCACCCTCTGTCCCGGCTCCCTCTGAGCGTCCCGGTTCGAGGTCGATCTTCGAACATTCATTTGCGATCTTCCTTCCTCGAACCTCGGCCTTCCATCCTAGGCTCTCGGTCGATTCGATCCATCTGATCGCCTTGGGTCGAGGATGGATCCTCCATCCTCGACCCTCCATCTTCGGTCATCTTCCATCTTCGACTCTCCATCCTCCATCTTCGAACCTCCATGCTCCATCATCAGTTCACGATCCTCCATCCTTGATCCCCATGCTCCATCCTCGATCCTTCGTTTTCCAGCCTGGAACCTCGATTCTCCACCCTCGAATCTCGAGCCGCCATCCTCGATCCTCCATCCTCCATCCTCGACCGTCTTCCCTGGGTCCTTCATCCACGACCCTCCATCCTCCGTCCTCGACCCTCGATCCCTCCGAGCGCCCCCGAGAGGAGGGCGTCGCTGTCGCCGGCGCCGTCGGGCCGCCGGGGCTCGCGTGCGAGTCAGATGCGGTGAGGCCGCATCGCCGCGCTCGGGCCACGACGACGACGACGAATCACGACGACGCCGTCGTTCTCAGGTTTTCTCCGACGATCTGATTGTTTTTTCTTCGATGTCGGTCGGCCTCGAGGGCCCATTATCGGGCCCTGGGGCCATCAAAAACGGATGCGGGGCGAAACATACACCAGGTGAAGAGGTCGGGGACCTCCTCCGGGGCTGCAGATTTGAAACAGTCATAGCACCAGACACGAAGTTTTCCGCCGTTCTCGGCCTCTGGGGGCCCTCACCTGGACCCCGAGCAGTCCACAAGCGGCCCCGGTTGAAAAGCCGGCTCTGCTGAAAGGGTCTGGATGTCGATCGATGGGGGGCGATCAATGGGGGGGCTAGCGAGGGCTGCAGAAAAGGGTCCTATTAGGGCCCAGACGGGGGCCTTTAGGGTCTCAGGTGGGCACCTTTCTCTCTCCCCCCCCATCCATTCGCGCCCAAGGACCCCTGGCCCTCGCCAGGGGCCAGCGACGACGGCGTTCTCGACGCTGTCGATCATCGACTTGGTGCGTGGCGACAGCGCGTCAATTCAATCGGGGACGATCAGACTGGTTGGCACCATCGCGGGCCCCAGACGAGGGAACACCATCCCGGGCCCGGCGAGAAGACGACGAGGAACTGGCAGCAGTAGAGGAAGACGTTCTGGCCGCAAACGGACAACTGGCGCTTGGCCCAGCAGCAGCAGAGACGCCCAAGCATGGCCTGCGCCGAGCACGGCTGAGTTCACGCGTGCCGACGTTGCGGTCGCACAAACAGCTCGGCCACCACGAATCCTGCGCATCGAAACCGAACGCGTCATCCAGAAACGACAGACTTACGATTGATTATCACTGGCCCTGCCCCAAAAGTGCAATCAGGCTTTGGCATAACACGAGCCCTCCGCGTCGTCAGCGATGCCCTACCGAGCATGCGGGGCGAGTTGTCCGGCCACGCGCGCAGGGTTGAGGTACGCGAGCTAGCCGTCAGCCGCGATCGCGTGGACAGTGGATTCCCGTTTCGCGCGAGCGCGAAGAGCAGCTGCATGTTGCCATTGGCCGGAGCGTCCTGCTTGGCGCAGAGCTCTAGCTCAAAGTCAGTTCTCTCGAGGGCGCGCCGGGCGCCGCGGTGGATGGCCATGGGCTGGCTGATGGGGTCGGCGCCAACAACGCGCTCTGTGACGTCAATCCGAGGAACGCTGCCCAAGGCAGTCATAAAGGAGCGATGCATCTGCAGCTTGCTTTGCCAGACAACGGGGTTCGGAAGGATGTCGTGGATTTCGTAGAGCACCGCGAGGTCCATCATGGACACGGTGCCGTAGCAGACGCAGGGAGGAGCATTACAGCCGCCACACTAGGGTGCGCAGCCACTTGAGGAAGCGCTCGTAAACCTGGCGGCCGTACATCAACTGTTTCCCGAACGCTGCCGTGGGCAAGAAAGCGTCCTCTCTGTGCCACGAGGTGGCCAAAGCAGCATCCACGCCCCACACCAAGGGGTGATGCGGCTGCATAATGTCGGAGTCGTCGGCGCTGCCAGGGGCGGGGCCGCCAGGGGCGTCGCCTGCTTGTCCACAATCGTGCCCGCTGCACGCGTCAAGCACGCGGCGTTGCGCCGCAAGCCGGAAGCTCTTGCACTCGGCAAGCCAGGGCCGCGACCCGCTGCATTTTTGCGCGGGCAGGATCACCGGCGCCTTCGTGCTAGGATTGGCCCCGCTTCCAGCTTTGTCGGTCTGTCGGTCCCATCCCGAAGGTAGGCATCCATCTCCGTGCGCGTGTCAATGAGCTGTGTTCGAGTCTTGACTTTCGTTATCACATGTTACCACCACGCGCCTGGCAGGGCGGGCGCGGAGGGCATCATCGATCTGCTGGCAGGGGTCGCCGTTCCCTTGGGTTGCGTAGCCACCCGGCAGTCCGCGGCAGGCAGTGGCGACGCGGGTTTGGGTCTCGTCCACCCTCGCTTGTTGTCGATCCTGACCCTAGAATCGCGGTCCACAGTAGTAGTCAGCATGATCAAGGGGAACTGTTCAGCACGCGTGATCGTCTGAATCAGGCGCAGGAGCAACGGTACCACCGAAACGACCCGTCAACCACATACATTTAAGGAGACCACCCCGATGCTTGCAACTCGCGTCGTCGGCAGGATCGGCTGTGCCGTCGCTGAGGAAATTCATGAGCGCATCGTCGTCGACGAACGCACGCAAAGTGGTCTAATCCGGCGGGGCCGTGGGAACGCAGCTTTCGAGATGGGCGCTCAGCATCCCTGGTCCGGACTGTGCCGAACGTAGTGGGGCCATCATCCACCTGCTTTGTGTCAGCGACCTCCAGGATGGCCTCCTAGTCCGGGTTGTGCGAGCGACTGCGGCGATACCTGCGGGAGGGTGCCTCGACTTCGGCATCGCAGGGGCGCGCAGCATCGACTCCGAAGCTGGCAACGTTCGCGAAGTCCTTCTGGATGTCGACGAAGCCACTGGGGCACGCGAAGGGAGCGCCGGCAGCCAGGCCCCCCAGGTCATGCTGTACCCCAGCGCGATGGCCACGCCAATGCCCCCCAGCGCGGCCAATTCTGGGCGAGCAACAGCAGCGCGAAGGGACGCGCAGTCCGCGGCGCTCTCAGCGATTAGGCGTCCGACCTCCCTGCGGCAGCATGCCGGCAGACGACCGCGCACCTGGCCGGCGGGGCCCGCCCGGCGCCGCCCCCCCTCACCAGAATCCAGCCTGCGTCCGACCAAGCTTCCCTCGACGCCGTCGATGCGGGTGCTTTTTTGGGGGCGCCGTTCGCTGCGCCCACCCTTTGGGCCGAATGCCTTTCTTCGCGCCCCTTCCCTCCCCCTTTCCACCCCTCCACTGCGCAAGGAGGACAGGGGGGGGCCGCCGCCCCCCTCCCCCCCCCTCCTCCTCCTCCTTCACCTCCTCCTCTTCCTCCTCCTCGTCGTCTTGGGCGTTGTTGCCCGAGGCGCCCTTTCTTTTCGGGGCAGCCCGACTCTCGCAACCCCGGCCGCCCGCCCCCCCTGGCGCGCGAGGCGAATCTCCCGTGCGCGCGGCGCCTGTGATCGCCGTCGCCCGCCTGACATCGGCGCCTCCGCCGCAGTCGGGCCGGCGCCCGCTCGCTGCCGAAGCTTGCCGCGGCCGGGGCGCCCCTCTGCGTCGCGGCAGCCAGCCGCCGCGGGGGCCGATGCAAGGTGTTCGGGCAGCCGCTCCCCCTCGTGCTCAATGGGCGACGCCTTGCCAGCTCTGCGGCAGCAAGTGCAATGAGGTTTGGCGTTGCCGGCGCAAGCGCTGCAAGAAGGACATCGCCCCCGCGCAGCGGCGTCTTGGCAGGGCGAGGCCGGCGGAGCGCAGGCCCCCTTGACCAACAGGTGGCAAGGCCCCTTGGCGCGATGCTCCTCCTCGGCCAGGGTCTCGCGCGCGGTTCGCCCTCCTGGAAGGCGACGGCGCCGTCGCTGATGACGCTGGCGGGGAGGAGTTGGCCAGCGACCTTGAGGAGCTCAAACTGGCGCAGCTCGTCGGGGTCCCAGGGCTTCACCATGGCGAGCAGGTTGCGCAGAAGTACCGGCAGCAGCTGGATGCCCCACGCGCCGATCGGCGCGCTGCACCCCTCTCCGTGGAGGCGGCCTGGTTGGCCCGCGACTCCGCTGCCAGCGCCCAGGGGCGCGCCGTCGCCCAGGCCGACGCGCTTGCAGAGCGGCTCGCAGTGGCGCAGAAGCACGCGGCCGCTTGCGCGGGCAGCTTCGATGACGCGCCCGCCGCACGCACCACTGCCGCCCAGAAACTCGCGCGGCAGATCGCCGGGCCGCCGGGCGAGCAAGGCAAGAAGAGGTCTGCCATGATGCCCATCGCCTCGCTCCTTGAGGGGAAGATTCCCCCCCTCGAGGAGCGCGGCGATGGAGGGGGCTGCCGGGGGCCAGGGGGGCGGCCTTGTCGGACACGAGGTCCTCGAGGCGGGCGATGATTACAAGATCGAGGAATCAGACAGGGAGGAGGCCAAGAGGAAGCAGCTCCTCCAGCAGAGTGTCCAGGAGCTCGCCCACGAGGCCTTTGACTATTTCGCCACCGAGGCGAAGGAGCTGGAGCGGCAGCGCGAGGCCCTCGTGGATCGTCTCGTCAAGAAGCGCAAGACGGACGGCGACAGCGGCAAGGGTCAAGGCGAACGGGCTCCTCAGACACAGCTGGCGCCACCATTCCCAGCCCTGCCCCTCCTGCGACAGTTGCCACCAAGGTTATGGCACGGCTGGCGGCAGCAGCCATCGGCGGTGGGCGTGGTGGCGTCGGCGCCTGAGCAGAGCCTTTGACGGGCTGGTCAGCGGTTCGCAGTGTTGTTTCGAGGCTTACTCCGTGGCTTTTTTTTCGTCGAGTGCCTATGTGACGCGCGCTGCGGCGACTGACGCTGCGATTGGTGTGCCAAGTACTGCAGGGGCGTGGTCAGTCTATGTATGGGGGCAGTACTACACCATCCCATCGGTCTCGCACGTAGGGCCAGTCTTGGGGGGCTGCCTGAGCGACGAGACCTGCGACGCCAGGCACGATTACTCACGAGCTGATGGTAATGTGCCTCGCGCCGAGGGCCAGTGCCCAGGATGTGCATACCCTGGGCGGCCCTGCCATGGCGACGGTGCCTGTGGCCGGGAAGTGCCCTGGGCGGGCCGCATCACTTTGTCGGTGCCAGTGGCCAGGATGTGCATGCCCTGGGCGGCGCGCGTCACGACGTTCGTGCTGCTGGCGATCTGGATCGCGTGGCTGGCCAGTGGCCAGGAGGCGTAGTCCCTTGGCGGCTTTACCACGTCGACGGTGCCAGTGGCCAGGATGCGCATACCCTGGGCGGCGCGTCGCAAGACGCCCGCGCTGCTGGCGACGGGGCCTGCCCTGCAGGCCAGTGGCCAGGATGTGCTTTCCATGGGCGGCCCCGCCTCTACAACGGTGCTCGTCGCCAGGATGTGCCTCCCTGTGAGTGGTTGGCCGCCTGTCAACATAAATGCGCGCGAGAGACAGCTGCCGGATACAGGGCGTCTGGGAATCCGCCCGGGCCGCCCGGGCACAGGGTGTTTGGAAAACAAGGCGTTCC